TCACCTGGGATCTGGCTATGAGATGCAAAGCTGCCTCTTCTCCCTCTTCCATGTTTTTCTCTCGGGAGGAATTTTGAGATGTAAGAGCTAAGGGCAAGAAAGCAATAATGATGGAACCCATGCCTATGTAGCTACTCAGACTTCCAAGTTTAACAGGCCCTCCACCATTTAAATGTACTCTCTCCTATCTCTGAGACTGAAGGGAGCCCCAAATACTTATCACCTCCCAGGACTATGGAAAATGTTCTTGGGACTTAAATGCAGTTGCTACAATCAACATGTTCTGGAAGATGACACACTGATCTAGAAATTTGAGTAATTTCCCAGTTTAACCTACAAAAATAGTACAGAACTAGGCTCAATGGGTCTCAAAATTACTCTAAAAGCCTATGTGAAATGTAACCAGCTGGACCTTACTTGAAAGTAATTATTATTGGTAGAGTCTTGGTGCAGTAGAGATTCTAAAAAACCCAGAGAGGATTCGGAAGCATAAGGTCACTGACCAAACTTTAAAAAACACCCGTCTAGTAGTACCAGAAGTCTGTCTCTGACTTCTGTGCCTGTTTTCTCTGTATACTAAACATGGACTGTACTGAAATCATAGGGTAAGTATACACAGTGGGATAACAGGTGTGTACACACATCTTTGTCAACCACAAGGCTTAATTCAAAACCCCACTGATAGGATAGTAGGACGAGATAATCACTTGTAAGGAAAAAAACGTGAGAAAAGTAGTTGCGCCTAGCCTCACACCTCAGAAGCTTAATATTTCGCTCATATTTGGGGAATGTTTTGAAGGCTCTACAGCACCAGGCTGGAGAGTGAGTGAGTGTGTGTGTGTGTGTGTGTGTGTGTGTGTACGCGCATGGAGGGTCTGTGTGGAAGCGAACTCAATTCAGACCGCATCCATCCATTTCCAAGACTGTGGAGACAAACAGCACCTCTCTGATAAGAGTCATCTGCCTGTCCCTAGACAACCATTTTCCCTTTAGGAGGAAGAATCCCACCTTTCTATGACATAGGTTCAACACTAGAGCAATTCTACCTCTTTTCTCAGGCATCTGAACCAAATCTGATTCCACGATCACCACCTCCTCCATGTTCCGAAGACCCTGCTCCTCACTCAGTCCAGACTCCTCCGTGCGAAGTAGCACTAAGTCCCAGGCGGCGGGACGCCGCTTTCCTTCGCTCCTCCTCGGGCTCTGCGGAGAGGTCTCGCTCAGGTCGGATCGGGTTTCTTCCTCACCATGCAGCCTGCCTCGGTCTTAGGGAGCGGCAGCTTGGAAACCTGGGGACAGCATCCCTGAAACGGTCCTTCCCGTTGTTCGGAGCTGTCCCGGGAGAGCGGAGAGAAGAAAACGACTCTCTGAAGAGAAGGCTCCCGGACTACACTCAAGCAAAATGCGCCCAGCCGGTTCCCGCCGCGCTCTGCGCGCTCACCCAGACCCCCTCCGCTCCGCCCGCCCGCCCGCCCGCCCGCCGGCCCGCGGC